AAATGTGTAGTGCAGATCTTGAAGTATAAACACGCATTGGTAAATACAATCCGTTGCATCGAATCGATTTTCTGAAAATTCTGCTCTTCGTAAAAAGCTCGAAATATTCCAGCTGACTTGGAAGGCCATTCAGCCAGATCGTGGAGCTCATAATCGGCACATCCATTATATGACCTTTATTTTAACGAAGAATGGTTTTTTTATCGTTCTCTTTTGACAAAAATTCCTTTTCGTGCATTAGATCTGTATTGTGCAATTATTTACTTTATGAGGCTACATGTTATTTTATCCTTGTGTTTTCATTGCATTTATTTGTTGTCTTCCGTTGATCTGTTGATTTTACGCAAAAATGGTCTTATACGAGTTGGAAAATTCATTTTCATTCTTATACCAAATGTTGAAATTATCCATCTTACAACTGTGTAGAGACAATACATCAAGGATCGTGTTGAAAGTTTTACCACAGACACGTTCGACTCTATCTCAGGCTGTCAACTTTGGTTTGAAAAATATTTTTTATTTCTCCAGATGGTTTGTTCATATAACTAGATTAGAATTGGTCATGATTGATTATCGCATTTTAGTATTGTAACATCAGGCAGCGTAGTTTTGGATGGCAATTGGGGCGATGCTTATATCTCCATGAAGAACTCTCGTAAAAGTTTGAAACGTACCTCTTTATGATGGGAACACTCTGCTCTTTTGGGTTATGCATAAGCAAATGATTTCAAGTTTGCTGGTAATGAAAGAAAAATTCAATAATTGACAATGCTTAAAATGTTAGGTCCATAAGTTAAGTTCTCTGTCTTTCTTTCATGTGTAACTCCTAAAAAACGTTCTTATTTGAGGCACTGTACCTCAATTCATCCTGATATTTTTCTAATCCTAAATTCTTCATTTTCTTAGCCTTGTTTCACGGTTTCAGAATATGTGAAATTAGTTTTTAAGCAGAATTGGGGAAACATTCACAATGAAAAGAGTGAAAACGTATTTCATGCTCCTGGCTTAATGCTAAGATGCACGTTATTATTAAGATACAATGAATCATCCAATATTTAATCGCAAGTCTTTCCTCCACGCGAAAATATTACTTCAAATATAGGAAAATGCTCGTTATTGTAGACAATATCTGTGATCAAAGACCGTGTTCGGCATCATGCGACATCTAATGAACGGCAAAGACAGTGTATAAAGTCTTATTCAACCAACAGCGAGAAAGAAAATTCTTATTGATGGCAGACATTTTTGATCTGCAAGTATTAATCCAAGACCAATTTCTTGATACATACGTTGCCCGTACGTGCACGAATTCAGACACAACTCATACATTTTCAAACATGCAACTTGCAAACCCAATGCATGTGCAAACGTATGTGAATCAAGAGAAATGCATCAATCTTGTATGCCCGAAATAGATACTGCAAATCACACATATTATTTGTTTGATCTAACGATCATTGGCGAAAAAGCTTTCGTGTGTTCTTATATTTCTTTTACAGTCGATGCTATAGAGGTCGTCATCATCTCATGATACACAGCGATAAAAACCAATAATGCAAGAGATATTTTTCCGCACAATAAAAATTGAATCGGCATAGATATTCCAAAATGAAAAACAGTTAATTAGTGAATTTTCATTCCAGTTTTCATTTTTGTATTTATTAATTAGCACTTCTCACACGACAGAAAACCCATATCGACTATCGCGATAAAGTCGCGGTATCGCTTATAGACTCGCGCTGTTATGGTGCGGCGCTTTGTTCTCGCGATGTCGCAAAGCGACTTCTATCTTTTTTGATCAAAAAAGCGCGACTTTTTACTGAAAGCTGTCATGTCGCGATCACGGTTCATTCACTATTGGCGTTTTATCCAGTTATAACAACAAAAGGATTCACAATGCGTGATACATTAGTAGTTTTGCTGTTCGGCAAATGGGATTAATTTGTATAATGATCGTTTAAAACTTCGCTGTTTTCCCAAATTTATCGTTCTTTCACACAGGCTGCGTATTGTAATAACTGTCAATTGGTCCTATTCTTGGCGGAACGAACGATAAATTTGGGAACAACGACGAATTCTAGAATTATTACTATTAAACTCATTATGCATTTTTTTAAAAATGTTTTTCGGTTGCTGATTGATGTGAACAAAATCAATCTGATGATAAATTAATAGCTGCAGAGTGTTGAACATACATCAAGTATATTAACTGAATCGTACGTTTTAGTTGTTGTTAATCTAGTTTTTGAATAAGGCATTGGTCCCGAATTCACTCGTTAATTATCAACTGCTGGATGAATTTTAGCACCATCTTTTGGTATGCTTCAAGAAAAGTAAGTGTTGCTGATCCTCGATAGAACAGTATCTCTTATTATTGCATAATGACAATGTAATTTGAAAGTCTAAAACGAAACTTGAATTCGTTCTCGGCGGCGTCTCCACAAACTCGGGTGAAGTAGGCGATTCGAGAAGCGAATAAAGTGGTTCGACTTGTATGAGATAAACGATTGCCAGATCAGGATCGTTCTTCAATGGTTCAAAGTGATCTTTCACAATGAAGTGTATGCCAGGAAGAAGAATTTCATCTTCACGTCGAATGTTGACGAATTTTCTCTCCATTCAGACATTCAATGTTGAACATGGTTCGTTTGCCTTCTGGACCGAGAAATACATCCGATTTGAGGGCGAAAATCGATTTATGACACCTTGAGAAGTCTCGCCATCTATAGGTATCAGAGACCGAAACGGGGTCAACCAAACGTGACCCGAATCCGGCTCGACCTCGGACCCGACCCAAATCAATATCTTATACGTTGGCCCGAACTCGACCCGACCCGTTTCGCTCTCTGGTAGATATTGCTACTTCCTATTCTGTTCTCAATTCAAGACGAACGCCTCTCCAGATAGTCATACGTTGAAATGGTAATTTATCGAGAGTCGTTAAAATGAGTTTCAAGTGGAGAAGCCATTCTTACCTATTCTTTCTTCGCGTAATTTGTTTTTATTAATGTAACAATCTGTAAATGTTGCAGTCGTCGACATTAAACGTTTGAAACCACTTGTAGTTGTACTTTCGGTACTTTTCAAATACAAAGTACTAATACACTCCCCCATAACAGAAGATCATCACCTAATAGAAGACCACTGCCGATTATATGACTTGAAAGCCAAATAGAAGACCACTGGCTGGGTTACACACAAAGTATTTGTAGTTTAGAACAGTACTGGTACTTTGTACTCTATACTTTCAACAAATACTTTGTACTTGTACTATGAGTATATTTCAGGCACTTCAGGTATTTTGATTCCATTTCGCAGTTTTTAGTTCAAGGATGATGTGTCAGTGAGCTAATACTAGAGCCCGGCGGGATTCAGTTTTTTGTCCTGATCACAATCCCGTCCCGTACAGTAAAACCGGACGCTGAAAAAATCTTTCTCCAATCCCTATTCGATCCCGTACGTTTAGTTACAATCCCGTTAAAGTCCAAAAACGTTTTTCACTAAAATACAGGCATGCCAAAAAATGGCTGTCGATGATAATATTTTGTTGTTTTTTAAGTCGAGCGAGTGAAACTCGAAGAGCCTTATTCTGTTCCACTACAAAAAATTCTTCCCTCCTCGAGACCTACTTTCTACTTCGAGTCAGCCACTCGTCCTCAGCTATTGCTCGTCCTGCGCTATCGTACAGATTTGGAAAAAAGATTTTTCGAGAGTGCAAGAGCGGTAGATGGAACAGTTGAAGTTAGTTTTTTGGTCAGCTTTCTGATTTGCCCACTAGGGAGTTTGCTTTCTAGTCTTTCTCTCTTTTCGCTGAATAAAAATTCAACCAATGTAGGTGCATGCATTCTGTTTTCTATCTGGCATATATATATAGAGCGAAATCCCAATCGCGTTCAGCAGCTTAAATCCAGATCCCGATCTTTTCTCTAATCCCTGTCTCGATCCCGTCCCGTAAGCTTAATCCCGAACCCGATCCCACAAATTTTTTTCTTTCAGTCCTGATCCACCTGATCCATTTTATTGCTCTATATTTACGTTATTATAGCGCAAACGAACGGCTATATATAGTACAAAAGTTAAACAAGAGTTTTGCAAGAGTTGCGCATGAGTTACATGAGAACAGAAAGTGTTAGGAAAACCACAGGATGACGCAAGTGTTGCGCAAGAATAGAAAGAGTTGGGAAAACACACTGCGGAAGCAAACGAAAACGAAAGAATGAAACAAGAGTTGCGCACGAATGGTACAAGACCAGAATGGAGAGAGAATGAACCTTATGAGCTGCCGAAGAAGGCAGATCATAACATACTGTACATATTTTATTCACATGTCGAAAGAGTATTTCATTATATGAGTAAAATTTATGTCATTTTTATTGACTTTAACGTAATATAGAGTCACGTGTGCTGTTGAAATGTTTCTTTAATTCCAGATAGCAACGTTTTATAGGGTACCGAATATGTTTACTTAGTTATTGTTGTACAAAATCAGTATGTTCTTTTTAAAGTAAATATATACAGTTGATCGACAGTTTTTATTTCTTCTATTGAATGAAAGGCATAGAGCACATATCGTTTTTCTTCCATCGATTGTTAAACAATGTCTGGTGTACCTAAAAATGACAAACTAATTCTTATTTGGCTTGATGCAAATATTGATCCAAACTTAGAAAGAGATCTACATCAGGCTGTTCCTGTTTTAAAAATATTCCAGGATCCCAACCAATGTTTTGATCATATAACATCACTAGAAAATGATGAAAAAATACTTTTGGTTGTATCGGGTTCACATGGTCAAAACACTGTACCACTCATTTATCAACTTCCACAACTGATTTCGATTTATGTATACTGTATTAATAAACAAGCTCATGAACAGTGGGCAAAAGATTATGAGAAAGTTTGTGGTGTGTTCACAGATAAACAAGAACTGTTGGCAAAATTAAACAAGGACATTTATAAGTACACGAGAAGTCATGAGCAAATGATCAGTACATTGTGGACGACGTCAGAAAATTCGACACGATCTTTAACAGACGAAAAAGTAATATTTATGTGGTTTCAAATATTGACCGAAATTCTTCTACGTACACCTCAGCTGTCTACAGCACAAGATGAAATGTTAAATGTGTGTCGTCAAAATTATGTTGATAACCAAGAGGAACAATTAAATATTAAGAAATTTCAACAATCGTTCACACCTGAAAAAGCTGTTTGGTGGTATACACGTAATACATTTTTATATATTTTATTAAACAAGGCATTTCGTACACAAAACAAAGATGACATATTTTCATTTCGATATTTCATTGTTCATTTACATAATCAATTAACGCAATTGAATAGAGAATATATACTATCCTTGACGAACAAGTCGGCACTAATATGTTACAGAGGACAGAAGATGTCATCAACGGAATTAGAAAGATTAAAGAAGAATATTAACGATCCCATATCTATGAATAGTTTTTTATCAACAACAACAAAATATGATGTAGCTAAGGAATTTGCACTTCGTGGCATAACACCTAATATGGAACCGGTTTTATTTTGTATGCATATTGATTTAACCGTGCCAATATCAACGCCATTTGCTAACATATCATCATTCAGTGCCTATAAAACTGAAGAAGAAATTCTCTTTTCAATGGGTGCATTATTCCGTCTTGATTCAGTTAAGCAAGAAGATAATCTATGGTGTATTCATTTGACAATGAGTAAATCAAAGTTGGATCCTCAACTCAAACTTTTATTCGATTACACAAAACAAGAAATTGGTTCAACACGGACAACATTTTCAACATATGGAAAGTTTTTAGCATTCATGTCAGAATTTGATTCATCAATTCGATATTTTAATCAATTATTAGCACAATTACCCGATGATCATTGTGATTTACCAACAATATACAATGATTTGGCTTATGCTTATCGAGAATCACATCAATATGATAAAGCATTGGAATGGTATAATAAAGCTATTCAACGTCGAGAACAACAAAAAGCATTCATGCCGACTGATGATCATAATCTTGATCTGGCACAATCCTACAGTGATGTTGGATGGCTTCATATGAATCTTGGAAATCATGCGCAGGCGCTCGACTGTCACAACAAGGCACTAGCAATAAGACTGAAGATATTAGGACAAAATCATCCAGATATAGCCATGTCTTACAATTGTCTAGGCTGTGTTCAAACGTATATGGCAGATTATGATAAAGCCTATACAAATTTAATGTTAGCATTAAACATTCGCAAGGAAACAATGCCCGATAAACATCCATTTGTAGCCATGTCTTATTCATCATTAGGTTCATATTATATCGTACACAATAAAAAGAGAGAAGCCTTAGAGAATTTTCAACGTGCTCTTGAAATTTATCAATTTTCTGTACCACCGTCACATCATATCCTCAAAAGTGCTCAGAAAGCAGTTGATAGACTTACAGATAAGATGAAAACATAGTGTTATGAAGAAGTTGCTCAAATGAACTTCAAGAAGATAGTAAAAACATGTTAGATAATTTATGCTGCATAATGTAAATAATGGTGACTCCAAGTAAACTTAATTTAACCATGAACTCTTTATTAATGAAAATAAATAAATACGACACAAACATATGTATGAGTATTGAATACCTTTCAAGGAGCGCAACCCGCCACGCGCCTACGTCCCTATTGTGAATAAGATTTGACTTTATTTGTTTATAAGCACGATGGTAGAAAATCTTTCATAGTAAGCTAGACAATTAATTTGTTGACGCTCATAAGAGCGAATCTAACAAACCAATTTATTGAATAAAAAGTCCATCTTTTGTTCTAATTATTTCAAATCCCGAATAGCTTTTCTTTCTCCCTCGCTCCTTAATAAGCTGGTAAATTGATAAGTTAATTTAGTTTTCTCTGTGCATGCCAAATCAACACTTTATACTGAAACCTTGTTTGAATTTTTGTACTAAAAGTATTCTGCGTCGATGCTATACTCTTTTTCTCCAAGATAAATCACAAAAGCAATAATTGCAAATTAGAAACTGTCATTAACCTACATAGCCACTTTATAACAACTTAGTGTTTGGTTTTTAGTTCGTTGCTATCGGTTTACATTAAAAGTGGACAAGGATAGTCTTTGTCAATCAACTAACGCTAATACACTATAAATATCCGTGTTACGAAATCTATCTCCTAACAGACTGTTAATTAGTTTCTGAATTCCTGGAGTCTTCAACCACCGGAATAAAGGACGGAGGAGAATAAGCGAGTATCGAGCACCCCAATAAAACTCAATGAAACTTACATATTCGGAATCAGCGTAAAATTCTGAGTATTTTAGCCGTCTCACTTTTCCAAAAATCGCATTTTGATTTTTATCGAAAAAATTAAGAGCAAAGATCCCCTTTGGAACATCGAAAAACTTTTTCCCTCTAAAATTTTCGAAACACACCTTTTCTGACTCAGAACTTTGTGCTGATCTCGAATATGGGATCTAAAGTTAGAAAAAGTAAACATTTCGTGGAGTCGAATGCCAAAAACTGAAGGTTGGTCAAGGTCAGTCCAATTGATAGTTTGCAGGTTTTCACGAAGAAAGAGTCATTCAAAAAACTTGAAACTAAACAGTTATTGGTGAAAATAGTTGCTCTATCCAAATATGTAAACAAAAATGCAGTGTGAGCGTATTTTGAGCAAAAATATTAAGAAAAAGAGGAAAAATAGTCAAAAATCGG